TTTTGAATAGAAGTTTGGCATCTGGAAAAGTTGTTTGCACTGAACAGTATCCTTAAAAGAGGGACCAGTATAGGTTGCGTCCCCAAATAAATTATTACTATTCCTTTTCAGACTAAAAATAAAACATTTTAAATATATTGATTATACCTTCATCAGAACATAAGTATTCTATCTAGCCTATAAGTTCCAAGAATCTCTATTTGGGCTTAACTTACCATCATTTCAAAACAAAACAATGAAATGTGAAATTTTGCACATTAGGATGTTCATAGTGACCACATAAAGTTAAAAAAAAAAAAATTCACAGACTCTTAGCCATATATTTCAACTTTTTCTCACAATTTGAAACGTAAGAATTAAAAATAGCATCAGTTTCATGTTAGGAATATTTATTTCTCCATTCCTTGTTAAAATCAGATGCATTTCTTTGTGCTATTTTTTTTAAAGAATACTGACTTTTGGGGGGCGTGCCATGAATGAGAACATAATCAGGTAAAAATAAAAGCGTGTGCTCAATGAAAATCTCAATCATATCATGCCACTGACTTTAAGCCAAACTCTACACTTATTTCAGGCTAGAGTGTGGCTTAAAAATCTTTGGTATGATATAGGACTCGCATTAATCTGAACAGGCTTTCAGTCGTATCCATTGTTCCCTGACTTTAAATGCTTTTCTTCATCTGTATTTCTGACTTGGAGTAAAGATTCAGAATTGCATTTCAAGTCTATGAATTTTTGTGGCATTTTGACTCTTATTCCTGCTCCATCTCTGTCAATTTAAGATTTCTTTGCCGTTGCTGTATGACAAAAAGTTGAAAAGTTATGGCTAGTTGTATTTCTATTTTAATAACCATACCTATATAATTGTCATTTTCATACATTAAAAAAATATTTATGCTTTCTTTTATATTTTAGTCAAGTACTTTCTTAAACAAAACAATAGCACCACTTTGGCATTGTTGGCCAAATCAGTAACAGGTAAAGCAAATATGCATACACTTTTCTGAACTTGTCTTATGCAGTTACTTGTTAAAATGGAGAGCCAAGACACAGTGCTTGGCCTAGAGTCTTCATTAATCAACTTTAACCGTTGATACTAAATCAACAACCAGCTCATGGGGCAACTGAACATAGCTACTAGTTGTGTATGGAATTCACTTCTGTAAAGAAAGTCTACCACTAATTTACCCTTTAATATTAAAAAAGGAATTGACACATAATCTGTCTTGAGCAAAAGGTGCCTACTTTAATGTATTTACAGGGACTGAATGCAGTATCCTATTATTTGATTTTCTTCTCTTTCTTGACTGAATGGTACAAATGAGCGTCATACAAGTCTTTCACACAAATGTAGGTGTAGGTTTGTAAGTACATTTGGGCAGAATATAGAATGTATTCATTTTCCATTTAAACTCTTAATGATTAATTATGATTACTATGGAGATGAGGCTCAAATTTTGCTACCTTAATGAAAGAGATATATTAACTTCAGTGGGTTTAGCTCTGCAGTCCTTTTTGAACTAACTGAAGATAATGAGGCTTAATTCACTTTTTTACTTCTGCACTTCAGTGACATTCTGTGTAATAATTGGAGTTTTATGTCTATTCTAGAATGCAAAAATCTGTGACTTCTCTCATGTGATTTACATGGTATGGAAGGACAGGGAGTGGGATTTTCTTTACCACTTAAGTGATTTATAAGAATCAATGGCATCCAGTGGGAGCCCTGTTCCTAAATATCTGGAGTGCTTTCGAAAATCCAGCTGAACCCTTCAATTTCTCTAATTAGAAGTTTTCCAAGTCAGACTACTTTGTACTTTTGGGAGGGAGATATTTTGGCTCATGCTTCAACTTCTTTAAGTAGCGGATTTATTGAGATTATTAAGCTAATGCAGCCCTTTATCTTTCACACTGAGTGGTATATCATGTGCTCCCTGCCATATGACTGGAGATTTCTTATACAATATGTATTTCCCATCCATGCATTTCTCAACTCTACAGTGGTGCAGCTACTCTCCATTTTGTGATACCATTTATTGTCTAGTAAAGCAAAGTGTTGCCTTTGAAGCTTGTAGGGATTCATTGTTTATTGTAGTTTCTTTCAAGAATTGTTCCAATTTGTTTAGACAGTTGTCAAGTTCTGATGACATATTGCTGTCTATGAGTGACATTTTCTAATTATGATTTCTTAATAGGAGAAATATGGTGGTATGAATGTGAGTGCATGAATTCCAAGATAAGACCAAAATTGAATTGGACCTTTGAATTAATTTACAGGAATTAAATAGCACAATGATGTATGGTTATTCAGTTATGTTAACAGTGCATTAGTAAAATGTTATCTACAAAGAAGCTTGCCACCACAGAGATCTGCAAATTGCTTTTTGTGCTCACGCCTTTCCTCCCTCCTTCTGTTAGAGCTTCAGAGGAGGTAGGGGACAGAAAGAGTCATGGGACATGAAATGGAAACGTATATTATGTCTGTGACATCAAACTAATGGCTTATTCTTAGAATGCATTTCAGAATTCTTAACAGCCATTGAAGTAAAAATACTTCCCTCTCCTTCCCTTCCACCAAAAAAAAAGGCCTGTAAGAGCTGTGATAGATATCAGAATTGCTACCTCTGTTTATTGAATTGGTGGTAAATAATTTACGTTAGTTTCCCCATCTGTTTCTCTCTACTTTCTTCCTTTTTCAACATAACTATCTCAGTCAGTGACAGCTGTGACATATTCTTTTTATTCATTTATTGTTCTGCTTTTACACTGTAATGGCAGCCTATTGTGCATATAAACATGCATCTCACACAAAGTGGAGGGTTTAAAGAATTGCACAGGAATACGTTGCACTTTCCTTGGAAAAAATACAAACCCTAAATTTTCTATGGAAATAAAAAAGGAACTATAACAATTTGTTGGACTTTTAAGACCTACCTTTCCTGTCTGTTTCACAAGAAACTATTGAGAAGCTGTACCATATGCAGTCTGCAGAGATTCTTCTCTTGTGTTTTAGTCAATAGTTCAGTCATCTGCTCCCATGGATGTAGTAGAAAGTAAGGCAGATTTGAGCCTTTAAAAAGAGATACTTGGTTTACAGGTCTAATCTAATCTAACATCTCCCTAATTGCTCCCTTCATACAGTATTCTCCCTGCCCTCTTTGGGGCTGACCAGGGGATACTTCATCCCTTGTCTGAGCTTACAGCGTGCAGGGTGATGGGGGGAAGAAGTCAAGTCGAACCACGTTGCAGTTCTGGACAGGACATTCTCCCCTGCCTTCTCGTCCCTTCTCTCACAAAGAAGTTTATTGTTCACCTTGGGACGTTGTTGGCTACCTATCCCCCTTTACTGCAGGGACGATGTAGCACTGAGTTGATTTACAAAAACGGAGCATAGGACACTGTTATTCAAGGTAGAATCAGTGCAGTACCTATCAAGGTTACATGGCAGAGATTAGCTGGAAATGTATATGTCTCCCACAAGAGTGCATGAAAAGGTATTGGGAGTAGCAGTTGGAAGGACATTATGGTTCATCTCTTCTTGAGGACTCTGTCTACACTGTAATCTGGTGATTAGATTAGCTTTTCTGATTTACAGAGAGATGCAGCAGCCTAATTAACAGTCAATTTAGTCACAGCTGATTGTGGGAAGAATTAAAATGGCAGAGAACTTGAGTAACCCTCTGTTACATTTGAATAGAATGCTGACATTTCAGAAAGATTTAGGCCCTGATGGGCTACCCTTTGAAGTCATTTGAGGGCTGTTTTTCAAATTGTCTTCTCCCGGCCTAGGCATCTGTGAATTTGTGTTCCACTCTACCGGGAGTGAAAACACCACTGTTCAAGTATCTAAAAGGAAACAAGTATCTGAATTTTCTTTTGAAGATGGGAAAGTTATTTCCATGTTGGAATCTGAAGCCATTTTAGTTCATTTAAACTGAATATTTTAAAAACTATTTTGTTATTTAATCTTTGGCTTGATCTTTTCATATTTGCTTTTACCTATTACCGTTTTGGCCAGACCCTTTCATGTAACAAACTATAAAATAGCACCGTTGTACTATAAAACAGAGATTTTTACATACTGTTTGATATATGTGTATTATTGATATGCTAAATTTTACATACTGCATTATATGGAGGAAGAAAGAAGTTACCTATACTGTTGCAAAATAATTACCTGGAAGAATCATTAATGGTTTGAGAGCCTATGTATGCTTTAACTGCTTTTAAAAATCTTTTGTCTCACAAATTGCAATAAACTGCATCTTTGCAAGAGAAGGAAAAATAAAACTGTCTTAAAACAAATGCATCTATAACCCATATTCTGTCAAAATGCCACAGATGGAATTAATGGATGTTTAAAACTGTATATGTTACCTTACTGCTGCTGTTACTGGGAATGTCAAACTGTGCAAATATGAAGGGGTAGACAAACAATGTTATCAGACACTGTAAAACAAACAGCCTGTTGCTTGTATAGAAGTGCAAATAAAAAAACCACCACTTAGACAAGGCTGATGAATGACTCCAGCAGCCAGTGTTCATAGGTTAATTTAGTGCAATTGGATCCATCAAAGGCCCATAAATTTGTAGGCTTTTGAGGGGCACAGGACTTTAAGAGATTTTGTGCAGGACATTTAAAACAGGTTAACAAACAGTAATATATCAACCACAGAATTTTTTTAGCTCTGGGCTGGTTAAAATGTTCTGTTCTCTAAAGACTTAATATTGGAATGTTTAGTTGCATTGTTCATTGGGAGAATGCCCATTGGTTGAGAATGCATCAAGCTTATTAAACCATAGGTTTTTTTAAGTCTTCCAATGTTTAACAAATAATTTATTTACAGCAAAGTATCCTGCAGATGGCACATTCATTCTTCATTCTTGTGGATGGCATGTTCTTACATTCTGTAGTTTCTGTTTCCTGTGTTCCCTCTACTTGTATTCTTCAAATGCACTTCCTGAAGGTGTAGAAAAAAACCAAATATTATTCCAGATAGGTTTTAATAAGCTGCATGACCACAAAACTCATATTAGTGGGAAAACGGTTATCCTGAATGCTGGAATTGTTAAAGCCCTTCTGCCAGTTCACAGAGAACTTAACTATACAAAACTTCTGTACATTAAATTCCCCGTTCTCCTAGGCATAAACACTTTGACTGCTGTCATTGTTGATCTTGGCAGAGGAAACATCTGCATACTGGAACCTGGATGGGCTTAGACACACAGTAGGTACCAAAGATTTTCTTTCTTTCAGAACAAGGACATTTGCAAAAGCAGGATGTATAGGGTCCAGGGAACGTTAGAGTTGTAACTGCAGGATTTATGGAGCCTCCTGGGCTTTGGTACCCAGCGGTCAGAGGTTTTCAAAATTGCTGAGTGGGACTCTGTTACCTACATTTTGCATAAATCACATATCAGATGTGTAACGTTTTTGTTGGAGAAGGCCTTTAGGAGGATAAAAAGTGTGGGTTCACTGCAGGAGCTGCAGCCAAATAATTTGCATTTTCAAGAAGAGACAAGGTGATGTGCCAGGCAAACCAAGAGGGCTTTGGAATGAATAATGCCCTCAGTACACTGTCTTTCCATGCACTGGCCAGCTTCTAGCAGCAGTGATGGGTGTGGCATATATCTTTCAGTTTGACTTCCTTATTTGTCATGCTGGTAAATATTAGCTGGGCCCAAATCTTTGCACATTCTGTACCAGATTAGGGGCAGAATTGTTAAGTGACTCTCCACATTTATATTCTGCAGTAGAAGTAAAATTCTTAGTTAACTGAAATAATGTCTGTTGTCTTAAGAAAAGCCAAAAATAAAAAAATCTTCCTGAGAAAGGTGAGGCATGTGTATGCAGCTCTACCACTGCATTATCTGTTATTTAAGCCCTAAAAAAAAAGGAAATGTATTCTCTAAAATTTAAAAAGTAATGAAATTTTTGCCTGCATTTCTGATGGACAGAAAGAAAATGGAAGCTGATTTGATGCATTACAGTAGATTTGTGAGGTTTTTTAATGATTTCCTATATAAAATTCTATTCTATATATAACTTTTCCATTTGTCTGCAGTATCTATTAAACATAAAATAAATCAGAAACTGGCAAAGGATCACAAAACTTGAGCTCACATAAAGCTTATTCATTTTCACTGGTTTTGGATTGGGTTCTCATGGATATGAGTAGAATTATTATTTTCAGGATATAAAAAAACCCCAAGCAGTACTAGTAATTGTTAAATTAATTATACCACCAACAAGTAAGAACATTGAGCCAAATTAAGATTTATCATCACTGACAAGCCAAATTTGTTAATAGCAAAGTATTCATAATGAAGAAATGTCTTTGTTAGGAATCTGCCATTCTAGATGTTTTTAGTCCGAAATGCAATACTAAATGAGGAAGAAGAGATTAATCATCTAGTCACTATTCCCGTGATCAGTTCAGTAGGATACTGGCTTGTCTTCATCAAGTTTTGCTAATACTGCTATAGAATAGCTTCCTTATCATGGATCGAATACAGAAACAGAAATGTCAACAGAATTCTGCTTATCCATAAATTAAAATTATTTTTGCTGTTTCATTGCCTGTTTCTCTTCCAGCTTTTCCAAAACTACTTTTTCCGTCTTTAGTTTTCCCTAAATTGTACCTTAGTTTTCACCCTGAAGCACTCATTCTGGATGAACCCTTCCATTTTCACTGATTTTCACTAAAATCATCATTGCAGCACTTCACAGGAGTCTGCCACTGTTAAGGATCCTGCCTTATGCTACAAATGCTTATACTGGTAACAATGAACTAAGAAAACAGGAATTTCTTGACTCATCTGCCTTGTTTTCTTCCTCGTGGAAACAAAGCAAAATAACCTTGTCAATGCTGCCCCTAGGTTCTCCTCTTTGAAGAGAGTTTGCTAGCATATAGGAAAAGTTATATGCTACATTTTATTTGCAGAAAGTCATACATTCTTAAAGACTGCACACTCATGATTTATAAAATGGACAGTGAGAGCCTTATTACGAAACAACAGCCATTTTGCATTGCAGGGGCTTTCAAAGTATACTTAGATTGAAAAATAGCTCTGTTTCCCAAATGAAAATATAAATTCTCTCCACTACTGTTGTTGTCTGACTTTAAAATTGCTTTATCATCCAAATAGAGCAGATACTAACAAGCAGCAGGGTTTCAGTTGTAGTTTTTAATACTAACATGTAGATGGAAAAAGAGCTGTCGTAATACACAGGCTAGCTTTGAAATAGAGGGAAGATGGCAGGTTACTTCTAGAGCAGTTTCTCCTCTGGAATCAGCATTTTGATGAATAACTACAAAGAAGTGGCACTGGTGGTGGCAGCAATAATATGCATGCCAGAAAATGCTTTGACCCACATTACTCATTTTTTCAAGTATGCAATGTTAAGACCATTGGGGGAAAAAAAGTGTGAATGCCTGAATTAGGTTCTCAGACCTGCATTTGCACTGGTATAGAAAAGCTTGCCTTGTTTCTCAAGTCTTTGGAAAAAAGGTAATTAGAAATAAAATCGTTATCCGTGATGTTTGTTTCATTATCAGATCCTCTGAGCTGATATTCAGACCCAGGCAAAGACAATAAACGTTTTAAGATGACAGATGCAAAATGTCAACTTGGCATAAGTCAGTTCATGAAGAGAGAAGTGCAGACTTCTGACCTATCACTTTAAGCATGGATCTTTGGAGACAGGGCAGCATTAACGTAAGGATAACGACTACCTCAGTGATAGTAAAGGTCATTTAACTGAGATGGAAGGGTATTGGAAAGCATGCAGCAGCATTCTTATCCTATTAGGATGGATATTCAAACCTCATATTGGCATTAAAAGATCTTTTGCTTTATTGGTAATAAATGGAAAGTCTAATGTTTGTAGTAACAGGCATGATATCTTAGCTACAAACTCTCTGGGGTCTCTTTGAAAGCTTTTCAGTTCTGTGGGCAGTGTGATCAGTAACATAATAACAAGGCTGGAAAGTAAGCAATGGGAAAAAATAATTTTCTGAAGCAAAGAGGCCAAGTTCTTCTATCTATTACACCTAAAGGTTCCCTCATTGGCTTGGTAATGTGGCATGGCTGTAATAGAAATTAGGATTTGTGCCATTGTGCATATTTTGGCCTGTAAATGTATCTGTGAGTTGATACTGAGCCAATTACAAAAGAATCTGTCAATCTTAGAAAGATTAATGAGAAATAATGCAATACTTTCTCTGTTTTCTTAATGGCATTTTCTTAAACTAAAAATATTAACATCTTTTCCCTCTCTCTCTTAGTCCCACTTCGTATTTATTTAAATTTTGAAGATTAGATAAAATCTGAAAAGGATTTTTGAGAGAATCTGCTTCCTATTGGTACTTTGTTGGTAAATATATTTATGTGTATTTCCCACATATGAGGCCTAAAGAAGAATAAGGACTAAAAATCTGAGGAAAAGCAAATTATATCAAGATGTACACCTCTTTGGTCCTTTTGCTTGGGGTGCAAGGGAATGGCATAGCACTATGTTTTCTTGCTTTTCCTCTTCTTTATTTACTGGATTTTAAAATCAGCCTTACCAGGGTTCACATTCACGTAATAATTTTCAAGGTACCTTGGAACCTTTAATTGATAAGAACTTTGTGCCACTGGCTCTGTGACATTGCTTCGCTCAAAAATGTCACAGTCTTCCCTCACGTACACAACCGTTGTGGAAATAGCTCAATTTCCTTTGCTTGAACAGAGAATAGTTGTTTTTCAAAGTTCTATTCACTAGTTTTCCAAACTGCTGTTAAAACTTAATTCACTTAAGGGTAAATAAACTGAACTTTTATTAGCATTTCTCAGAAGAGAAAGAAACGAATGAAAGAAAAGCTAGATGGAACCGTGTACACCGAAGACAGAACTTTAATTCCCCTTCTTGCTCCTGTTTTGCAGTTTAAAACTCTAAACATAAACTTAGTGTAAAAATAGGTGAAATCATTACTTTGCTTTCAGCACAAATACTGAATGTTTCTCCCTGTTCCTTACTCCTACTTTACTAGCTGATATATTTCCTCATTAAATGAGATTTTAATCTGAAAGCAATGTCAACAATTATTCTCATAGTTTTAGGTAAAAAAAAAATCTTGATCTATAATGTGCTTTGGTTTCATACCTGTTCTCTTTGTTATAAAATCAGGGACATCTTTCTTGGGTTAGAAATGCTGATATATGATTAAGTTGTGTCCTCTTTAATAGTCTCTGGTTATATACATAACTAACTGCAATTGAGGCAGAATTTTATAATGGATTTGTATTATGCAGTTGATCACTTCCTGTTTTTTATCAGTTCTGGCAAGATGAATACCTAAGTATCTCTCATTTTTTAACAGTAAGAGTTCAACTGAAAGCTTTCAACAGAATATTCAAATAGCAAGCAACTAAACAAAACAGGCTTTGGATGAGCATAATTGATGAGTGATCATTAAATGAGTGAACAACAGATTGTGCAGGTTGCTTGGACTATTTGATCAAAAGTTTAGGTTTTTCTTATTCTTAAAAAACTTATTATTTCTCATGAGTTTTCAAATGAAATCTACTACAAAAGAAAATTGCTGCAAGACTAAGAGGAATATTTGCTGGATTGTGATCCTGAAAAAAATTACCTATTTGTTTAAATGTACAAGTGGTTTAATCAAATTTAATTTTTTACAGTATTTTAGCTTTGTTTTACTGGGGTCTTGTTTTGAATAGTATTATAATTAATGCAAAAAGGTGAAGTACTAAATTCAGTGGCTTAATTAAGATGGTCAGAAGCAAAGTAAGGGGATTTTGAGTAATATTAAATTCCCTGAAATCTGAAGTTTTGAGGAGACTGAAAATAACTCAATGAAAATCAGTTTCACCACAAAAAAGATAGAACTGCAACAAATCAAAAAGCTTTAATTTGACTTTTTGAGATTAAAATGTTTTGCTTTGGAAATACCAAAATATTCAATTCCAGCAGTTCCAATGTGAAACTTCTGACTTTCCCTTTTCAAAACATCATTTTTTTTCATTCATTGTAGTAAAGAGATATAGAGAACTAATTAATGTTAATAATGTAAATATTAATAATAGAAAGGTATATACAATGAAGTAAATTAAATAAACTGAAAAAAGAAAACCAATCTTTATCATCCTTGGTCTTCGTGTTGCAACAGGATCTAAAATTATTCTATTCCCTTATCTAAATAGTCCAGAACAGTTGTCCTGAATGATTTTTTTTTATTTCATCAATCTGAACATTAAACTGAAAGTAAAATTTAATCACCTAGTTTTCCTTAGGAAGCCTATTAGAGAAAACCAATTGCATTACCTGTAGTTCTTGCATATTTTATGCCATTTCTGTATTTCTGGTCAGCTGCTCTTGTACTGAGGAATCTGAATGATCAGGGCAATATATTCTAGAACACAGATTGACTGAGTGTAGATTATATGGATAGATCCTATTCTATTTTAAAGGAATAATTTACCTTTGCAGATCAAGTTCAGAAGAACAGAAACAAAAGATGCAAAGTAAATGGTTTACTAAATCTTAGCCAGCTATGTTGGTTTTGTATAAAATCTGCTTCAGAGATGACCATTACAGCAACCTGTGAAGGCTGTTGAAAAAATTATTTGTATAAAACTAAAACATTTTCTCATTGACCAACCATTGTCCAGCTGTCACCAAGAACACAACTTTTCTTCTATGTCAGATTTGAGCATTTAAAAACAGAACTGCCACTCACTGTATATTTCCTGTACCCCAGCTTGTATATATTTATTGTTTCACACTGGAGAAAGCTATCTGAATGCTCCAGAAGTCTCTCAAATGACAAACAGTTTTTTCATCCCAGAGTTGCTGACCAGACAGGTTTCGACTCAAAAAACCAGAAAGTATTTCAGGGAGTAGAGGAGATACTTCTTTTTAAGTAGGGGACACACACTCTGGTGAGAGTTTGGTATCCTTTAGATAGATGTCTGAGAAGGATGTTTGACTGCTGGGCACCAATAGAAACTACGTATTACTGTAGTTCACAACTTACTCATGACCCACAGTGCTGAAATCCAGCTGGAAAGATACTTTGAGTTATCCCATCTGTTCACTAGAGACTTTAGGGTGGTTAGCCTGTAGCTATCACTTTGTGCTCTGATGCGCACCTCATTTCTCTCTGCAAACTATTATGCATGTTTGTTGCATTCATTGGCTGCTCCAGTTTAAGGTAAATTTGTCATGCGCTGAGTGCAAAAGAGGTGGCGAAAGCTGGGCATCTAAATCAGGACAGAGTTAAGGTTGGGTATGTGCTCCATTGTATACAGCAGCTGAGGCAATAACAAAGTGCTTCTAACTGCTACTTTCTTAACTTCTTTTTTTGTGAATCTGTGAAGTACGCTGTGTATGTAATACCCCTAAGTATATCATAACAATGTGTTTATTTCTTACTTCTCACTATACTTTTATATTTATTTGTGAGTAAATGTCTTAGAACAAGACAAATAATGATCCTATAGAGAACAAAATATTTTGTTCATCAGCTACAAACAAACAAAACTCTACACATACAGTCTTTGTAATTGGATTAAAACTAGTTCTTGATGTTGGCTTTATAGCAACAAATAGGCATTTTGGGGTTCCCAGCCCACAACAATCATTCAGTACCTGGTCCTCATCATTCAGATTTGTGCATGTAGTGTAGCAACACTTGTTTGTAATGTAATGACTAAAGAACAACATTAACATAACCTATAAACAGAACAACAGCCCTGCTGCATTGAAGTAGGTTATTCTACCAAATTGTGCGTAGGAGAAATGATCTGCTCAAGGAATTGGGGAAGTAGACCATTTACAAAAACACTTAAACCAAAACACAAATCCTGGATTTGTCTATTAAAAAGGCTATAAGGAGACGCCAAATAAAAACTACATCAGAAGTATGAAAGGCATAAGAAACTGATTGTGTATGAAATCCGAGAGTAACTGTACAACATCTTATATATTCCACTTAATCCTGCCTTAAATCTTGTAACTAAACAAGAAAATATTAGAGGTCATATATATTATCTTGTATATATTCACTTTATATGTATAAGGTATGTACCTCATATAAAATGTAATATTAAGAGAGAAAAATATTCTAAATCAGAAAAAAATTGCTCAACTGAAAAATAATTTGACTTTAGTATAATTAATTTTTTGATTAAAATCAGTGACATCTCAACACTATGAATTAGCTAAATGCATTCATATTGGGGGAGCCTATCCAAAGAAGAAAGTATGAACATAGCATTGTCCTTCTTAATGGAGGCATGTACAGCTGACTGCAAAAAGAAAAAAGAAAGAAAAAATAATTACATGAGAATATGTACGAGAGCTTTTTCACACAGAGTTTTTCTTAATGAATTCTGTTTCCCTTCTCTTCCTTTCCCTGTATTTTCCTTTTATCTATCATAAATCTGAATAATAGTTTCTCCTACCCTTTCTGTATTTTTGTTTCCTCAATCTAATTTTCTCCATCCACAGATATTAATGAAAATGCCAGTTTGTTTTTCCCATCAGATTTCTGTTATTTTATCACCAAGTTCCCATCAAGAAACGTTTATGATTTTTCTGCTTCTATTCACTTCTCTCCTTTTCCCATACATTTTCTTTAAAGGTGTTGTTTTCTTTAATATTAATTCTTCTCTAATTTTATTTTCTCTCCCGTTTTCTCAAAATTCTGTCCTTTCTGTGTGATGCACCATGGTTCATTCAGTTCTTTGATATTTCTCATCTTCTCAGCCTCTTTGATCTAATTGCCTCCCCTTTCTTTTCTTCTGCTCTTCACTGTCCTTTTACTGCCCTTTTCATCTCTTGATTTTTTCTCCTTTTAATTTCCTGGGTGATTTCTTCTGCAGCTAGATTCTCTCAATTACTACATACTCCCTCTAATTTTTTTCTTCCTCCAGTATCCCCTCTTGCACACTACCTCCCCTGCTGCTGCAGAAAGATGCAAAGCCTGTCTTCTGTTCCTTCCTGTTTGTAAGAAAAGTGTTTTCCTGGCTGTCTTTTGAACCGGGAAGAGGACAGCTGCCTGAAGAATGACATCATTCCTTAGCACTCCAAGGAAAGTGGTATGGAGATCCATCAGAGAGCTGGCAGGTATCTTGTCTCCTTTTACTTGAAGTTACAGAATGTTTTACCCATCACCTTAGCAACAAGTACGGGAAGGAGCACACAGATTACTGCCAAGCCTGTTTTCTTCTTTTCCCACAAGTCTTAAATGTATGTGTGCCCAGACAGGAATAAAACGCAGGGTTTTCTTGTCTACAGTTGAGCTCTACCTGAAGAAGACTTCACTTGTTGTCACGTGTGCCTTTTGAGATGTTCACGGCTAAGGTGATACTTCCCAGGAAGAATCATACAGGTGAAAGCATTCCATTCCATGGATTGACTTATGGAAAAGAAATGGATGCTGCTGGAATGATTACAATTGTTCTTTTCATAAAGTTGATATCAAGGAGATCAGTATATAGTGCTGGTTTCCTGCCTTCCTATGAAATCTTAGGATTTCATGCAGTTCCATTTCTTAAAAGGAAAATTTTTCAGATAGCTGCAAGAGTGGGGCCAACATACGTGTAGGACAGATAGGGTCAACAGCAATAAAATATATCACTAGAGGCTTGCAGCAGATGACAGATAAAACAGATGTTCAGAGCTCAAAGAGAAGAGACAGTTGGACATGAGCTTAATGGTAGCCTAGCCTAAGATGGGTTTTCTGAACTATAGGCTCTGTTGAGGAGAGATGAGACTTAACTACATGTATGTACAGTATATCTAGTATGACAGGACCAAAAATCTGGATACTCTGAACTCCACAACTATACAAATAATGCTAATGAATATTTGAAGTGCTTGGAAAATATACATATTAAACATTAAATAGTTAAAATGAAGTATGTAATGATTGCAGTGACTATCCAGTTAATTTAGTTCTGATTTAAAAAAAAAGCCAAAATAATGCAGAAAGAAAAAAATCATTTGTTCATTTACAAGTAAAATTAATAGCAGAAGAGCTGTGTTTTCCCTCTTGATCACTCACTCTACCTCTTCCTGACAAGGAAGGATGAGTGAGGAGGTTCTGTATAGATCAGTTGTTAAACATTCAGTGTTTGGTTTCTCTTTTGAAAGAAGTCTTAGGTGCTATTATGATTGGATGACGTGAGTACTTGTCATTTACTACCCAGTAGCAGGATAAAGCCTCACAGCTACTAGCTTTCCATCTTTTATTCAGTGTTCTAAGAGATGAGATAGAACACACCATTTTCTATTTATTTCCTACCACGGACACTGTTTTCCAAAACCCCACTAAATCTCAGTGTCCCTAGTAGGCAGAACACATCAGTTGTTTGCTGTTACCAGTCTTGATAGATTTTTCCTTCCCTAAAATAGGTAGGTTGGGGTTTTTTTGTTTGTTTTGTTTTGTTTTTCCCAGCCTGGCCTACCTTTTGTGCTTTTGGCATATCAGTGTGGCGCTGAGCACGTACAGAGCGTGCAGATTTAGGTGGCTTTATTGGAGCACAATACATCTCCAGCCTCCTCAGGTCACAACTCTGGAAGCAGCATTCATCCACTATTCCCTTGTGGTGTAAGCGTCTACTGCTGGATCCATACCCTGTAGGCTTACCTATTCAAAACACAAATGGAAAGTTTTTATGTTAGAAAGAAAATGCAAAGATCTCAGCAGTAATCATATTAAGTTGCATTATTTTAACTGAATCACCAATGACAGTTGTAGAGGCTGCCTGTGTGTATCTATTCTAAGATATTCCTGGAAATGGCCAGCTTTGATCTCTGTCTATAGGTGGTTGCTATTTAAGCATTTGAGCAAAATTACATCTTCTTAGAAACGTATTATTAAAATATTTTCTTGAACTGTCTTGGCATTGAAAATGGAGAGGGAGGAAGTTGAAATCTGGCATTTAGAAGCCTTGCAAAGGAAATTTGCCCTCTAGGTTTTGGATGAAAACTGATTGTTGAGCTGACTGAGGTAGCTGGTGTTTAAAGATTATAGATCGTGCCTGTGTTGTAGGCAAGTATTTTCTAATGAAAAAGGCTACACTGAGCCACTATGTGAAGTCAGAGTGTGTGCCAAAGGGGAAATAAATACTGTATACCATTGCACAGGCTGTAAGATCTGCAAGCTCAAAAACTAGTGGGAAGCAAGAAATAAGGAAACAAAGTAAGCAATGAAATGCAGCAAAAATAGGAAGATGGTTGATGGAACAGGTCAAAGCAGAAGATTTTATATTCAATAGCTTCGCACAAGATAGGTAATGGGACTGACATAACATGGTCTTTCCTGTGTTTTGTGTTTGCATTGGGCATCTGTAGAAACTGCTCGACTGGCAAATGTTTTGCATTTTTCATTCAGCTCCAGTAAAGGGTGACATTTTCATTCACAGAACTCTTGCATGCTTCTCTCTTTTTTTTTTCAGTGATTTATGACTTCTTTAGTAACTGTTGATTTCTCTGCTGTACTATGCAAAGATTACAGACCCATTATTTCCTGGGCCTGTTGGTATGCAACCCAGTTGGATGTGCAGTTGCCCTGTTATGACTAACTAGAAATGAAGGAACAGTAAATTCACAAAAATAAATATTTGTTTACTTCAACTATTTTAAAATTCTGGTAGAATTTGGTTTCAGACAGTAAAATTCGGAAAAGATTAAAAGTTTTGTTTTGACATTTTCAGCATTAAATGTTTCCACTTACAGAATGATCCACATTGGTTAAGAATCCAAAAATATGGAAAAAAGGAAAGAAAATGTCACCAAGAGCCAAAAAATGAAGTAACTCAATTCAGTCAGCTCTACCAATTTTTTTTCTTGCTTTTTTTTTTCCCCTTCAGTTTTATCACGGAGACCAAAAATCTGTTATTCACAGAGTTTGGCAGGGGTTTACGTTTTAAGAAATTACTCAAGCTAGATAAAGGATAAGGGTATCAAAGAAGATGAAAATTCAGTTTCGCTTTGGGAAATTATTACCTCCAATGCTTATACAGCAAATTCTAGGTTAACATCCATATACTCGTCCTGCAGTTGTCAAGTTGAAGACAACACTGCATTTTGCAGTTCTCTGTGATTAAAACATATGTCCACTGATGAAGAACCCTTGAGGCCTTAGTACATCCGTAAATGAAAAGACCTCTAGTGGTAAAGTATGTCTAACATTTTAGCCAGCAATACAATCAGCTAAGAACTAACTATCCCTATGAGCTTTGTAAACCCAGACAATAGGTTTTTAAATGTCTTTTTTTTCCCAGGGACTATAAATTAAACAAAAAGAAAAACATGCTTACTTAGTATATTGCAATCCACCGAGGGGCTCTATACTGTACATTGCCTGCTAAATTATTTGTTTCATAAGACTGATCAGAACAGCAAGCCAGGAGTAGATTACAGCAATATTCTGATTTGTCTGTGTGTGTGTGCATGTGTTGTTTTCTGTGTATCACTGTAAAGTATTACAAATATTAAGACACAGATTTTGGTTTTTTTTTTTCCCCTGACTATTTTCACTCACTAAGTTACAATATAAAGTACAAGCTTCTCCCTGGAGATTTTTCTGAAGTCTGTTAATCAGGTTGTCTTAGCCTAATACTTTTAAAATTTAGCAGTCATGATAAAATGTGGAGTGTCATTACTGTGCGGGATACCCTGAGCCGTTCCACATTTTGTCTTGCTCCCAATTAAAACATGCAAGGGCAAATTCTGTTCCTGGATATGCAGGCGTAACTCTTCCTGATAGATCCAGCTGAACTGTAGGTACAAATAATTGATTAGTTAAGCTTACCTTTCTTTTCTCAGTCTGCCAGGTTTTCATAAGCAAACACTCTAAAAGCTTCTGTTCAAGAATATTCCTTTAAATGGTATTTCACAGCAGCTAACAGGCATAGAGGTTTGGTTGATTCCCCGGCTACTGCTAATAGTAAAAATAAGGATGGCCAGTTCACTGGTCAGTTTCACCTGGCTTATCATGACCTTTCTACCTAGCAAAGAAGTTACCTATTCAAAAAAATTTCTATCAATCCAATAGAAGCAATATCAGGATTAGTAATATCTTGCACTTCTAAGAATCTTACAAATGTTAGTTCCTCATGACATTCATGCTAGGTAGATAATATTACTTCTAGGTGACAAAAATTAGAATCAATAAGATGAAATGTGCTGGCCAGGAACTTCCATGAGTTAACAACAGAACTTGACAGAAGAAATCTTCCTTCTATGAGTAGCAAGACTATAAATGTCTAATGACTGATAGTGGCATTTTTTATGGGATCCATTGGTATATGAAGGGGTTATAAAGGAAATAGTCAAATGAAATGTAAAGTTTGCAAGGTCTCAAAATTTTTTGTTTAATATGGTTAACATTTAGCTTTGTCATGATTAAAGCCAAAGATGAATGATTGGTAGAGATGATTTTTTTTTTTTTTTAAATCTTTCATCTCCTTTAACAATCAATAGTTCTTTCCAATTTGTCTGTGTTGAGCCTGTACTTGTACAGTATTGCTTGTATTTTGCCATTTTAAATTTAGCGCAATTATATAATCTGATGCTTTCTTTCCTTAATTATTTTTTTACTCAAGACATAAGATAAAACGGTGACATCCAATGGGTTATATAGCGTTCTACCAGTTTACCAGTATCATTTCTTGTATGAAATTTATGACTTCTTGGTAAACGCAGTCATTTCAACAGGAATACATTTGTTTTTTCTTCGATGGTTACATAAAGTAGAGGAACTAGAGCCATGTACTCTAACTTTTAATACCATCACTCATTTATTTTTGTATGATATCTTCCCAATAAGTCAAGCAGGAACTTATACAATTTTTTTGTTAGTTGGAAGTTGTCAATTCTGAGTTTTATTCTCATCCAGCTACAATCTTGTTGTGTGATTACATGGAAGTTATTTTACCCTCCAGTGTCTGAATTTAACCATTTATAAAGTTGATAAAATACCTTGAATAACCCATGAAGCATTGCCTGCTTTATTTAGTAATCAGTAGCAACATTTCTCCTGCACTATATCATATGCATAAAGAGTTAATACAAATCCTGAATCCTGGAATCTTTCAGGTGAAAATCTCAGTGTACTTCAAAATTATTTTTACTGTAGCCAGATCACAGACATCTACAAGTTGTTTCTCTTTCTGACAGATTAATATCTTTATGAAGGAGGATATAGTATCTTATAGCTCTTTAAAAAACCTGTATGGTACATGTAACAAGTTTGGAATGGAATCACTAACACATCAGTGATGTGGTCAGCAATGAAACTTGACATTTATTTATAGGCTTAAATATTCATGTATTACATGGCATACTAAATGCTCATCCTTCATAAAAAGATAACATTATATTGTGAAGTCAAATGGTTTTATTTTTTTCTTTTAAAAAAAGTTTTCCAAAGGTTTTTGAAAGACCTAAGCCATCAAGTATGCTTAAAATCCATATAAAATAAAAAGTGATATTACCTAAAGTGTTGTACAACAAAGCAAATAAATAGGAAAAAAAAAAAAAAAGGAGAAATTATTCTTTTTCAGTAATCATGATTCCGGACTTTACTTTTGAGAAGTATCTGATGTCCAAATTAATTTTAAACCAATAGACTTTAAATTGCTGCTGTCCTCTTAAATGCTGCAGTATACAAAAGATGCTATCACAGACAAAGATGAGATAAAGAATTACAAGGAGATACTACCACTTCTACAGATATTATCAGTATTTGACCCATTTTCTTCTGGAAGGACTGCAGGATCAGATGCTCCCTGTTCATCAAGTTACCAAAGTATGCACTTAGATCTAGGCAAATGTTCAAGCTCCTACACGGTCTGTTGGACTAAAGCACATCTTCAACAGTAAGCATATGCCTGAGTGCTGTCCTATATAAGGACTGATGTAACTAAGCACTTAAGTTAATTTCTAGACCAAAATCCATATTAGTAAATAAATGGTTGGTGGTTCTGCACACTTAATACCAGTTTTCTGTTCCTTAATATTTTTTATGATATTGCCTTAAAATACTGGCTGATACTGCTGTGTCAGTATACTGGGCACCCATATAGTTCTTTCTCATCTTCCTGACATAATTTGAGTGCTGCTTTCCAGCTGTTATCAAAAAGTTCCTTATATTTACTCAACCTTCAAAGTGCTGCCTGTGGACATATAACAGTCCTAGGCATTCCTTTTTGCTGACGTACACTGATTTCCTTGGAGGTTTCTTTCCTTTCTTGTCAGTTGCTAGCTCAAAAGAGGCTTCATATCATGTAGGTCAAAGTTTACGTACTAGAATTTTTGGCTCTCATTTAATCTACTGTACCAAATATGTGAATGTTTCTTTCCATGTGCTACATGCAGATACAAAGTTTAGTCGCACTGTTCTGAAGTCCCCTGAAAGCAGGCCAAGGTACAGAATTCCAATAGTTAAACAGCTGGCTTCTGTACTAACAGCACTTCCCTTTAAATAATGCAAAGTCAATGGAGTAATTCAGCAGGGCTTGTTTACACTTGATTTCTTTGTTCCCCCCTTCCCTCCAAAATATCTCACTGGTGCTGCCATTGGTTCTGCTCTATTAACGGTTTCAATGTGAGAAGCACTGGTGTAGGTGGACTACAGAAGTT